ACTATCCTTCCCAGCCTCTGGTAATTATCATTCTACTCTCTACCTCCGTGAGATAATGATGATGATTATTTTTAGCTCCCACATAGGAATGAGAAGAACTCCTGACCTTAGGTGATCTGCCCACCTCAACCTTCCAAAGTGCTGGGATTACAGGCATGAGCCACTGTGTCCAGCTGGCTCCTGAAATATTTACAGGGACTTTTAAGATATCTTTTTCCCCATTCACGTCTTTGCTTTCTGAGAACTCAATCAACCAATTTGGTAATTAAAGAGTAAACATTACTGTTTTGCTCTCATTGTGTGTCTGGTGCTAAAGCATCTCCAGTTCTCCTAAATGAGATGAAATCTTTCTCAGAATGGGTTGGGGGTAGTCACATCCATATACGTGGAAAAGAGAAAATTCCATTAAAACATTTTCAAAAAGATTATCTTTGATAAAACAGCCATCATTATTATTGATCCCAGAAAGCCCTTGGAGGGTGGGGAAGAGGCTGTATTAATCTTTATACCTCTGGAACTCAGCCAGGATCTGGAAGCATGTAGGCAAGTAACGTGGGTAAATAAAAAAAGGAATAGACCGGGCATGGTGGCTCATGCCTGTAAACCCAGCGCTGTGGGAGGCCTAAGCCTTGGATTGCTTGAATCTATTGTGTCATTCTTATGCCTTTGCATCCTCATAGTTTAGCTCCCATTTATGAGTGAGACCATATAAGGTTTGGTTTTCCATTCCTGAGTTATTTCACTTAGAATAATGGTCTTCAGTCTCATCCAGGTTGTTGCAAATGCCATTAATTCATTCTTTTTTATGGCTGAGTAGTGTTCTGTCATGCATGTATGTATATGTGTGTGTGTGTGTGCATGTATGTGTGTGTGTGTGTGTGTATATATATATATGTATAATCACAGTTTCCTTTTTTTTTTTTTTTTGATGGAGTCTCACTTCGTCACCCAGGCTGAAGTGCAATGCCACGATTTCAGCTCACTGAAACCTCTGCTTCCTGGGTTCAAGTGATTCTCCTGCCTTGGCCTCCCAAGTAGTTGGGATTACAGGCATGTGCCACTACACCTGGCTAATTTTTGCATTTTTAGTAGAGATGGGGGTTTCACCATCTTGGCCAGGCTGGTCTCAAACTCCTGACCTCAAGAGATCTGCCCGCCTCGGCCTCCCAGGGTGCTGGGATTACAGGTGTAAGCCACCATGTCCGGCCTACAGTTTCTTTATCCACTTGTTGATTGATGGGCATTTGGGTTGGTTCCACATTTTTGCAATTTCTCAATGTCCTCTTCTTTTTCCTCCCTTTCTTCCTCCTCTTCCTCCCCCTCCTCCTCTCCTTCCTTTCCCTCCTCCTTTTCCTCCTCCTCCTCTTTGTCTTTGGGGTCTTTAAAAATTAAATCATCCTTTGGAAGTTAGTAATGAAGACTGAATTTAAACGGAGGCAGGATTCTGACAAACCCACTTCTTTTGATGCTTTATTTAATCTGTATAGTAACAGAGAACACATCTAAAGTATGGTAAACAACACTACAGAAAAAAAAATGTGCTGGTTTAAAAAACCTTTCTTTACCCTGTTTTGTATGTTTGTTTCTTTTTCCTCCCATGCTTGCATTTGATAAAAGAGCTATTATTTTCCTGCATTATGATAAACTTTAAATTTATCCTGGTATGGTTTGGCTGTGTCCCCACCTAAATCTCATCTTGAATTGTAGCTCCCAGAATCCCCATGTGTCAGGGAAGAGACCCAGTGGGAGCTAATTGAATCATGGGGGCAGGTTTTCCCATGCTGTTCTTGTGATAGCATCTCGTGAATAAGTCTCATGAGATCTGATGGTTTGATAAAGGGTAGTTCCCCTGCACACGCTCTTGCCTGCCGCCATGTAAGACATGCCTTTGCTCTTCCTTCACCTTCCACCATGATTGTGAGGCCTCCCCCGCCAAGCTGAACTGTCAATCAAGTAAACTCCTTTCCTTTATAAATTACCCAGTCTTGGATAGGTCTCTATTAGCAGCGTAAGAACAGATGGATACAATCCCAACTTACTTTTTTCTGAAAATTATTTATGTTCTATTTTTTTTAAAGACATGAGCTGTCCCTCGTAGATTTTTTTTTTTTTTGAGATGGAGTCTCACTCTTGTTCCCCAGGCAGGAGTACAGTGGCACAATTTTGGCTCACTGCAACCTCCACCTCCTGGGTTCAGGCGATTCCCTTGCCTCAGCCTCCTGAGTAGCTGGGATTATAGGCACCTGCCACCACGCCTGGCTAATTTTTGTATTTTTAGTAGAGATGGGCTTTCACCATGTTGGTCAGGCTGGTCTTGAACTCCTGACCTTAGGTGATCTGCCCACCTCAACCTTCCAAAGTGCTGGGATTACAGGCATGAGCCACTGTGCCTGGTCCCTTTGTAGGATTTTTTAAAAAGGGCTTTATTGAGATGGTTAGGAAAATTTTTTCAAGGAAGTGACGTTCCAGTGGACTTAAAGGATGGATGAATTGATGTTACCCAGGCAAAAGGGCAGGGTGGGATATGGCGTGACTGATGGCCAGAACAGTGGGTGCAAAGGTCCTGAGGTTGGAAAGAAGTTGGAGGACCGAGCGAAGGTGAGTGTGACTGATGGCAGAGGGCAGGAGATGAGATGGGGAGGTGAACAGGTACGTAGTCCCGCAAGACTGGGTTGTTATTCTGGACTTGGGTGGGTTTCAGTTGTGAGGGAGAGGGCTAGAGGAAGAGGATGATGGAAAACTCACAGCATGAAGGGACCACAAATGATAAAATACCGGAAGTCTGCATAGAGAAATGTTGCCTCTGCAGATGAAAGAGGAAGCTGGAAATGAGAAGAGAGATACCATCTGAGGTCTCATGCAGGGAAGGGAAATAAACAAGGCACATTATAGGAGCAAAGAACTTAGATCTCAAAACTGAGTGTATAACATAAACAGGGCGAATAAGGTCACAGTCATGATAATCCCTTCCTTCTATTTTTATGATACGTTTTAGTTTTTCCATACTACCAATTGACGTTGGCATTATCGTTGGTTCCTCTCTTTTCACCCCTCACGTCCAATCCATTGGCAAATTTTGTTAGTGTTGCTTTAAAAAGAAAATTCTGAATTGCATTCCCTCCATTACTCCCCTCCGGGTTGTATCCACAGACATTGTTCAACTGGACAAGTGCAGCCACCCCGTCCTTGGTCAGTTTGTTTCTGATCTTCTATAGTTCATCTTCCAACCAGTGGCCAGAAGGCTCATGTTAAAAACCTTATGCTATGTCCCTACTCTGCTCTAAATCCTCCCATGACTCCCATCTTTCTTTGATACAAAGCCCAAGTCTACTATTCACAATAGTCAAGATGTGGAATCCACCTCAGTGTCCACCAACAGATGAATGGATGAACACAATGTGGTCTGCATACACAACGGATTGCTATTTGGCCACAAAAAGAATGACATTCCACAATTTGCAGCAACGTGGATGAAACTGGAGGTTGTTAAGTGAAATGAGCCAGGCACAGAAAGGCAAATATCACATGTCCTGACTCATATGTAGTTGCCCTATTGTGCCACTGAGCACTGGATCTTATTCCTTCCATCTAACTGTGGTTTTTGTACCGACTGGTTAATCCCTCATTATCCCGCTTCCCCACTATCCTTCCCAGCCTCTGGTAATTATCATTCTACTCTCTACCTCCGTGAGATAATGATGATGATTATTTTTAGCTCCCACATAGGAATGAGAACATGCAATATTTATCTTTCTGTGCATGGCTTATTTCGCTTAACGTAATGTCCTCCAGTCTTCCAGTTCGCATCATGTTTCTGCAATGATAGAATTTCAGTTATTTCTTTTCTTTTCTTTTCCCTTCCTTTCCTTCTTTCCCTTTCCTTTCCTTCTCCCCTTCTCCCTTCCCTACCTGTCCCTTCCCTTCCGCCTTCCCTCCCTCTTCCTCCTTCTCTTCCCTTCCCTTCCCGTTCCCTTCCCCTTCCCTTCCTTCCTTTCCTTCCCTTCCCTCTCCCTTCCCTTCCCTGTTCCTTCCCTTCCCTTCCCTTCCTTCCCTTTCTTTCCTTTTCGTGTTTTTGATGGAGTTTTGCTTCTTATTGGCTCAGGCGGGAGTGCAAGGTCGTGATCTTGAGGCTCACTGCAACCTACCACTCCGTACGGTTCAAGTGATTTCTTCCTGCTTTCAGCCTCCCAAGTAGCTGGGATTACAGGCATACGGCACCACCACTGCTTGGCTAATTTTTTGTATTTTTAGTAAGAGGACGGGGCTTTTCATGTTGGTCAGGCTTGGTCTCGAACTCCCGACCACAAGTGATCCACCCACCTCGGCCTCCCCATGTGCTGGGATTGCAGGTGTGAGCCACCGTGCCCGCCCGATTTCATTATTTCTTATGGCTGAATGCTATTCCATTGAGTATGTATACCACATCTTCCTCACCCATTCATCCACTGATGGACACTTAGGTTGATTCCATCTCTCGCATGCCCACCACAAGAATGACAGCATCAAGTGAGCCTCTTTCCTAGCACCTAGGAGCCTGACCCCACCTGTGATCTTGTCCTTTTGAAGCTCACAGTGTGGTGGTGAAGGTGGCCATGAAGGAGGGAATCACTGAAACAATCAAGCAGTCACAGTTTTGATGAATTCCATAAAAGAAGAGCTCAGGGAGCTATGGAGGAGTCAGGGAAGGCTTCTTGGAGGAAGTGACATTAAAGCAAGATCTGAGAAATGAGTGGAAGCTGGCCTGGCAAAGCAGAGGCAGAGGGAACAGCATGTGCAAAGGCCCTGTGATAGGAAGGTTAGAAATGGAGCACAAAGAGAAACTGACATGATGAGGCTGAATGATGTGGTTAGGTCTGGTCACTGGGGGCTTTGCAGTTCATGCTGAGTGATTTGAGTTTTATTTCTAAGGAGAACAAAGAGCATTACAGGCAAGGGGTGGAGGTGGGAGGTCGAATGTGCATTCAGAGATGACCATGGTGTGGAGTAGAAGACTGTGGAGGACAATGGGGGTATGTAGAAATGTTGAATTTAGAGGAAGATCTGGATCAGGCAGATGGTGGGGTGATGGTGGGTAATTGTCAAATGTTATTTGGGAGTGGGGATCAACAGGGCTTGGAGGCTCATTAAATGTGGTGGTTAAACAGACAAACTGAGGTACAGAGACGTGAAATCACTTGTCCCAAGACTGGACTGGCTAGTATAGAGTGTTGATTGCTTCCACAGAAACAAAGTAACTACGAATGAAACAATGCAGATGTTTATTTTTATCCATCTCATAAATCTCCAACTTGAAGATGGAACAGGGTCATGGAACAACCTTGCCTAGGAGGTCATCCCGTCTCCCAGGTGCCTTTTGCCTTGTTGCCTCTCCAACCTTAGATGTGAGCCTCATCCCCCATGGTTGGGAATGGATCACCCTACTCTGTCCATCTTCCAACCCAGGTGAAAAGTTAAAGGAAGTGTAGAGTATGCTCTTTCTTTTCAAGGTCATGATCAGACAGTGAACACATCACTTCTATTCATTCTCCTCAGCCAGATTTTCACCAGGTGGCCACAGCTAGCTGCAAGAGAAGCTGGGAATGCAGTCCTCAACTGGATGGTTCTATTATTGTAAGGAAGAGGGTGGAATGGGTTTGGGGGAACAGCTACCATTCTTGGCTTTGAGGTTTGCTGCTGGAACTTGAACTCAGGTCTGCCTTGTCCCAAAATTTGCACTTTTCACTCTCACATTTTTCTTTCTAGTGTTGGATGTTCATGGTGTGATCCATGGAGCAACAGAATTGGCATCCTCTGGGCACTTGTTAGAAATGCAAAATCCCTGGCCCCCTTCCCCAGACCTGCTGAATCAGTACCTGATTTTCCAAGATGTTCTTGGAATCCAAGGGGAGGCAGGTGATACTGGTCTGTGGACACTTTGGCTAGCAAGGATCCAGATCAGTGCTTCTCAAACTTCCCTGTGCACACACATCACCCGAGATCTTGTTCAAATGCAGATTCTGATTCAGTGGATTTTGCATTTCCATCTAACTCCCAGGCGATGCTTATGTGGCTGGCCCACAGACCCTACTTTGAGTAGCAAGGGTCTAGGGTCTTCGAGGTACATTATTAAATATGATTGGTGGCTGTATCAAGTTTCCTAGGTCTGCTTAAAATGACAGAAATTTATTCTCTTGGTTCTAGAGGCCAGAAGTGTGAAGTATAGGTATTGGCAAGGCTAGTCTTTCTCCAAAGGCTATAGGACAGAATCTGTTCCATGCCTTTTTTTAAGGCTTTTGTTATTGCTGGCAATCCTTGATGTTCCTTGGCTTCTAGACATATCACTCTGATCCTGGTTTCCACTGTTGCATGGCACTGTCCCTGTGCACGTCTGTGTGTCTCTTCTCTTCTTATAAAGACACGTGTGGCCCACCCTACTCCAGCACTACTTCATCTTAACTTATATCTTAATTACATCTACAAAGACGCAGTTTCTAAATAAGATGAAATTCACAGGTACCAGGGTTTAGGACTTTAACGTATCTTCTGGGAGGAACACAGTCCAACCCATAACAGCCACCTCCACCCTTGTATGCTGGGCTCCCTTGCAGCCTCACTCTAATGCTCTAATCTTGTCTAAACTTTTCTTTATACACCACCTAGATAATAAATGTAGAGACAGTACCATGTGCCCATCTCATGCCACCTGCACCAGCACTGTGGACAGTTACTATTGTGCTTGCAAACAAGGATTCCGGTCCAGCAATGGACAAAATCACTTCAAGGATCCAGGAGTGGAATGCAAAGGTGAGTTCATATCCCCTCAAACCCTCCAGCATTTGGTAGTAAAATCAAGCAAAAGCGGGCTGGGTATTGAATGTAGGTACTCCCCCACCCCCCCTTTTTTAAAATCTGGTTTAATAATCTATACCTTTTAAGTGGAGCATTAGGCCATTTCTGTTCAAGGTTAATATTGATATGTGACGGTTTTGTTCCTCTCACAGCATTACTAGCTAGTGTTGCTAGCAAATGTGACTTACTTATTTCCTTCCTTCTTTCCTTCCTTCCTTCCTTCCTTTCTTCCTTCCTCCCTCCCTCCCTCCCTCCCTCCCTTCCTTCTTTCCTTCCTTCCTTCCTTCCTCTCTTTCTCCTTCCTTCTTCTTTCTCTTTTCTTCTTCCACACCCCTTCCTCTTCTTGATTCGTTGTTATTCTGTGTTCTGTAAAATTCATGGATGCTGATGTTTCTTCACACTATGGTGGCTGGGATTCAAGGATAAGCATCCCACAAGGAGAATTATTTGTTTGGAATCGGACATCATATTTTATGAGCCTAGTGCGACTTCCACATAGTCACAAGCATTGCTCAGATTGCCAGATGAGACATACATTTCATGCTTGATGGAAAAAGTACCAAAGTCACATTTGAATGATGTCGCAATATGGAATTGGGAAGATATTTGTTTTAACATTTAGTTTTTTTTTCAAAAATACCAGGTTCTCCATGTAGTATAAGCAAATTTTGTAACTCTAACTCTCTGTCTATGTTATGTTGATGAATGTTCTGATAGAGCCAGCCGGCTTTGGGGCGGGTCTTAATTCAGTCTGCAAAAAACCTGTCGGGGACGGTACGAGTGCAGCTGTTTACGTTTGTTGTTTCTCTTCTCCCACTGGTTGTTTTAGTATAACTGGTAAACCAGGAAAGCGCAGGCAATTGCTCCTGTTACTGGTAATGTCTCTCTTGTTCTGTGGTATGGTGGTGGGGGATGATTTCATGTATTTCTAAACTTAGCACACAATTTCTTATCTGTCCCTGTTGTCTCTTCCACTGACTTCTCAGATATTAATGAGTTGCCTCACCGGCAGGGTGTGCCACTGAGCATTCTGGGACTGTGTTTTGGGATGTTATGGTTTCAAGGGATAAATTCTCAGTAACTCCATCTGTTATTATTTACCTACGTAATTAATTAAGGGTCATCTCACTGGAAGACCCTATGAAGAAAGGGATTTTCTCTCTTTTTGTATGTGTATATAGAAAAATTGGGGCTCAGAGAGGTTACAAATACATATAGTTGTCTTTTCTTTTTCCTCTATCCTTTTTTTTGCCCCCCCCCCTTTTGTGGGGCCTGTGGTGTCCTTTACATGTTAAAGGGTAGTCTCTTGTAGGGCAGCAGCATGGTTAGGTCTTTTTTTTTTTTTTTTTTTTGTTGTATCTTGTTTAACAAAGTCTAATATCTTTTTAAGTGGAAGCGCATTAGCGCCATTTCTGTTCAAGGTTAATATGGTGATAGTTTGAGGGTCTTTGCTCCTATCACGAGTGTTGCTAGCTAGTTGGCTTTGTGATCTAATTGATGGTAAATGCGTTTATAGGGATCGTGAACTATTATGGCAAAATGTTTTTTAAAAATTAATTTAAAAAAAAAAACTGTTGGAAATCTGGGATTTTGAACTCCCTGGTCCGAGGCCTAACCTATAAGTCACGGGATAATGGTATCAGATATGATGTGGGGTTGCATGTGTCTCCACATGTCTTGGGGCTATCTGGGAGATTCATTTCTTTTTTTGTTTTGTTTTTTTTGTTTTTTTTTTTTTGTTTTTTTTTTTTGAGGCGGAGTCTGCGCTCTGTCGCCAGGCTGGAGTGCAGTGGCCATATCTCGCTCACTGACAAGCTCCGCCTCCCGGGTTTACGCCATTCTCCTGCCTCAGCCTCCCGAGTAGCTGGGACTACAGGCACCTGCCACCTCGCCCGGCTAATTTTTTGTATTTCTTAGTAGAGACGGGGTTTCACAGTGTTAGCCAGGATGGTCTCGATCTCCTGACCTCGTGATGGGAGGATTCATTTCTCTGCCATTTGGTCTTTTGTTCTTCATTAGGCTAGTCAGGGGCTTGTTCATGTGGCAGAGGTCAGAGGCCCAAGAGAATGAACAGAAGCCAACAGGTCTCTTGAGGCCCATGTTTGGAATTAGCACCTCATTACTTCACTGTCTTCTATTGGTCAGTGCAAGTCATAGGGCCAGCTATATTTAAGGGGTAGAGAAACAGACTCCACCTCCTAGTGCAAGGTATGGTAAAGTCACATGGCTTGCAATCTACATCTTGGGGTATATATACAGAGAGAAGTAAAGGACTATGGCTACTTTTGCAATCTCTGATAATTATGTTTTGAAACTATTTGCCACCCTTCTGCTTACATGCTAGTGGCTAGAATTTGTTCTCATGGCCATGCCTACTGTAAGAAGGGGCTGGGAAATATGCCCCACTGTGTGCCTGGGAAGAAGGGGGGAACATGGATATCAGGGAGCATCAGCCCTGTCTGCTGAAAATCAACACTCAGAGTGAATCTCCTATTTGTTGTCTCTACTCCTTGCTTTCTCATTTACCTTGACCTGGGTTTTTTCTTCTACTTGTCAGATGACAATGAATGTGCCAACCCAAGAATGTGCCCAGAGCATGCAACTTGTAATAACACTGTTGGAAACTACTCTTGTTTCTGCGACCCAGGATTTGAATCCAGCAGTGGCCACTTGAGTTTCCAGGGTCTCAAGTGTGAAGGTAGATGGGGATGTCTTCTAAGAAATCAGGTCCAAGACTGTTTGCAAAGACAGCAGCGAGGGAATTGGGGTGGGTCTTGGTTGAGTTTGAGACTTTCATCTGCAAATCTGAAGCCAATAATCATTCATTCACTCATTCATTCACTCATTAAAGAAATACCTCGGCCGGGCGCGGTGGCTCAAGCCTGTAATCCCAGCACTTTGGGAGGCCGAGATGGGCGGATCATGAGGTCACAAGATCGAGACCATCCTGGCTAACACAGCGAAACCCCGTC